GTAGTCTTTTTTTCGAGATGAGATAAAGGGCTGAAGCAAAACAAAAGCATAGTTGATGCAGTATTAGAAAAAGTGTCTGGCTGTGGAAATAATAAATACTGTGTTGAATGGAAACCTCTGATTTTTGTTTACAATTTTACTACGCCCTCTGTTTCTTAACAAAGTCCGATGACGCCACCGTAGATAAATAAGGAAAATATATATATTATAGGAAATAGAGATAAGGTTATAAAATGGGGACGTATTCGATAAGCCATGTTCTTCAATTCTGACAGCAAACTCTGGTCCAATCAATTCAAATCAAGACTTCCAGATGACTAATATTCTGCATATATGAAATCACTGCGCGTACTTGAAGTCGGATGCGCAAACTGTTGATATGAATCACAACTTTTTATGTGCTTAGAATCATGGTTAAAAATTTAATAAAAAGTTTAAACAAAATTGACAACCCTTCTCAAAAATATTTTTCTCCACAAGCTTCACACAAGTTGTTATAGTTTATTTATTTTATTTTGCTTCTAAAGGCAGTTCATAAATTTTATTTCTAAACAGAAAATTAACTGAATTTTTAGAAGCACACCTAGAGTGACAGCCAAAAAAAGGAGTGTTTTTATGAATAAAAAAAATCTTACTGTATACATTTTTTTTAAAGTATATCGATACATATTTTAAGATGGCACTTTTTTTAGGAAAGTACCTATTTTTCGAGTCACACGTGATCTCTCATGGCACTTAAAAAGGCCACAGTGATTTCGAAAAGTAGCCTAAAATTCGGCTGCTAATCCCTACGTTTAAAATATTTCGTTTAATCGAAAACGCACACCTAAAACATTGAAAATAAATCAAGTGAGTTCAACACATTTCTCAAATAATACAGAATTTGTACAAAAGTTTCCTGAATTTTCACCTCTCTATTGACGTATTATTATTTATGCCAGTTTGCTTAACAACTCTTGCAATTATTTGATGCGATAATTTTGAACAAAAGTGTTGTGGACTTAAACTTGCTTTGCAGGCACTCATTCCCTTTACTCTACCTAAAATGCGATTATTAGATTATCAAAGTATTTATATATATATATTCTTATTGCACTATGTTATGTTATGTTGTCACGTTATTTAACTCAATCAACTTACGATTTGCAAATTTCGACACACTATGCTCTTTTTCGCTTGTTTTATAGCTTCTTCACATAATGCAAGCAACTTTAAGTGAGTTTATCAGCAACCGACAGTTGCCCTTAAAGTAGCAACCACTTGGCAAAGTTAGCTTTCCTATAACAAGAAATGGAAACATATTTACACTGTCGAATTCACGCAAGCATATATACATATGTATTCTTATGTATACTTGAATCGTTGGTAATACATACTGACAATAACATACGTTTCGTAAAGCTGGTTAGCTGTCAAACACGTATATGTTTTGTATGTAAATTTACATTTATCATATATATTTTATATATTGTACATATTTATGCATATTATATTTATAATATATTTATTCTTACTGTTTTTAATTTATTTTCGTTTTTTGTGTTTTTGAGGACAAAATATTGGATAAATATTTTTTTTATTTCGACGCAGTATGTAAAATTTTGGAGTTATGAATTTTTTATACATTCTTTAGTTATCATGTAATCATACTTTTACTTTTGAATGTTTTACTTTTAAATATTCTCGCATTCATGTGAATTTCTAATTTTATTATGCTTCTACTTTTTCCACTCTTTTTGTTTATTTTTGTAACTCGAGTTTTCTGATTTTTACCATCTCTCCTTTGTATACACCTCCATCACTTTCATTTCTTATTTCAATGCTCATTTTTTATCAAATCCCGTTATATGTTCTTGCTGCAATGGGTCACTGGGGATCAACATTACATTTTACCAATTCGGAATGTGATTGTAGCCCCACTTTCTCAACCCTTCACTTTTAAAGCAGCAGGATCTTTGATGCTAGTCTCAAACTCGCTTGTTGGTGAAATAATGTGCGAAAAACAAGTAATTCAAAATGTCACTGTGTAGTAGTAGAATCGAGAGCACTTTGAGACTTCAAGCAAATGTGCAACATATATTGCATACCTAAATAAGACGTAATAATGCAAAACAGAGAGCTTTGAGGCATTTTAATTAGAGAGCAAAGTGCTTTAGACAGAGAGTTTATTATTGAAGAAGTAGCAAGTAACAAAATTTGATTTTAATCAAATTAAGTCAACATTTAATAAACAGAATCCGCTAGAGTTTGTTAGTAATCAAAAACTATTTTTTCTAAAATATGTATATGGAAGGAGTCATAAGTTCAGGAATCAGCACAGAATATTTACCTACCTTTAGCACTACGTTTTGTAAGACGAATTGATAACTTTCTATTAGCGTTTAAAACAGAATGCTGTGAGTTACTTACTTGAAATTTTATTTAATAAGGAACTCGTCTGGAGAAAAATTAAATTGAAATTAAAATAACATTAACCTAATTTATTTTTTAATACGATTAAGTTCTTCATGCATCATTAAAAAGTGTTACTACATTGTGCAAGTGGAATTAAAGTTTTTAAATTTTTAATAAGTTATGAGAAGATAATTTCACAGCCTGGGTGGAATAAATTTTTTTTTTAAATATAATCAGCAACTTATAAATAAACAAATCCCACTTTCAGATCACTGTATGTCGTATGTGAGTTTGCTAAGGTATAAACAGTATATTCAAAATGCGCCTAAAGTACAATTGAAGAACATACCAACAATAGACTATGCAGAAACGAAATTATTTTTGGTTACATTTATATAATATATTTATTCTAGTTTTTACGACAACATGTGCCATATAAAATCGGTCACAATTAAGGAGCACACTTAGTGCCACAGCCTTAATATGGCAATTTTTGATTATTCAAAAAAAAAAACAGAAAAAAAAAATCAAGGGTATATACATACTTGTATTAATAGAATACACAATAAAATTTCTGCAGAACATTTTTTTATGTTTTTAGAGTTACAGGCGACTTCTGTTGGCGTTAAACAAAAAAGGAATTCGGGCCTTCTCATGAAAGCATGAAACCTAAAAACAAATTTCTCTTCTAGAAGATACTGTCCCTACAATGATGTACGGTCGAAAAAAATCAAAAATTCACAAAATAGCATTTTTGCTTGTTGCATAAAAGAGCGATATTCAAGTACAATTAAGTGATAGTTATTGATAAAATATTTTGTTGTAACAGTTTAGTGTAAGCAAAATTGGTGTGTGTCTACCATATTACATTTTTAGTTTTTCAAAAATATTTATAAATGTTCATAACAATTCTAAGGGTTGAAATGAAAGAGAAGAATGGTATGAGAAGCAAACTTTATGAACCGGTGAGAATTAATAACTATTTTTGTAAAAAGAAAACTATATTATTAATAAAATGTACAGAATTCTAATTAACGAAATTATTTCTATTACTTTCCGGTGGTATTATAAACCGCAAGTAAAATTTCTAGATTAACGAAACTTTATGCTTAAAACTCTCACATATGTGTGACAGAAAATAATATTTGAAATAGTTGGCCACCTATAGAACTCTACCTTGCATCGTTGCTCCACACTCGCTGGTGCACTCATTGCGCCGCTCTCTGGTACACTCAAAGCATGCACTGCTGCTCAGCATGTTATTCCACGGACTTTCGTATTTTTCAAAATTTTCCCGGATATTTTAGTTCCAGCAATCTCGCAGCTGGCTCAGTACTATTTGAGACGCGCGTCTAATCGTCGATAAAAAGCGGAAAAACTTAAAACTCAACGCAACGCGTCCTGGAAAAACTAGTAATAGACAACGGCAAGAAACAGGGTATTTAAGGCAGAACAATTTTAGCATTTGTGACTAGAAGAAATCTTATTTGTAATAAATGTAAAAAGATTATTAACTAAACAGTTTGTGGCGGTTAAATTGCTGTTGTGCTTGGTTAATGTTTATTTGATTTCGCTTCAATATTCGCTTGTGTATGGCGTGCTTTCATGCGAACTTTTGCGCTAATTAAATACTGTGTAGAGAATTCGCATAAACATATATTATTTGGTATGTAGTGTGTGTGTAGAGTAGAGATATTCATGCTATCCATATGTGCGCGTGCTTATATTTACGCTTGAAGTAAAAGTGTGCGTTGCGCGAGCGAAATGCTGTGTCCAAAGACAGACACGCTTTTGTGGAGTTCTGTTTTACGACATTCGTTTTGAATTTTTTTTTTAGGTGGGATTCCCCATCACTCATTAAGTTGTAAATTTTTCTAAAATTAACTTTTTCACTTTTTTAATTTTTTTTTTGTTCTACATATTCGTTTGCCATACGTTGCCGTTATCATCCGTTTCCGTCGGTGTTTTTCAGTTTCAGATTCAAGTATGTGTGTGCGTGTGTGTTTGTATTTGTGGTACTTGATGTATGTGACATAAATATACGCTTTAAGTGCATCACTACAACGGCCGCGCTTTGTCTAAAAGCAAAAACGTGTTTTAATAACAGCAGGGTGTGGGTCTGTGTGCGTGTATGTGTGAGTTTACTGTCGCACAGTTGACATTTGAGACAAAGCAGCGAGCACTTGCTTTGCACAACGTGTTGCAAACTGATTTCCGTTCCGCTTCCATTAAAGCAACGGCATTTGGATTTGTATTTATTTTGTGGTGTACACGGCGTATGAGTGATATATTTCCATTGTATTATTATTTAGCCAAAACATTATAACACAGAGTGCACAGCAAGAGTGTCGCCTTAAAGGACAAAGCAACAAGCGCTTTCGTGAAGCGGTAAAAGAACGTAGAACAACAACAACAAATAAATAATAAACAATCAAATATTGAATACTTAAGAAAACGTGTAAAATCAGCGAAAACAGCACAAAATTGTGTCAAATTTAAACAACAAATTCTAAAAAAAACAAAAAAAAACCACAGCAAGCGTCTTTGTATTCATTTTGTTATCCTACATTAGCTATTCTGCCAACGCAACGGAAGTAATCAACGCTAACTAGGACAATATGACACGCGTGCGACGAATTGTGGTAAGTTGTGTGGAATAATTGCGCCTGTTTTGCGCTAATGCTGTGTCTTGTGTTATATGTCACTTTCCCCCCAACCCCAAAATTCGGTACCCCAACTTAGACATTTTTTGCGAAAAAAATAAAAATATATGTACAATATAATGTAATTTTTTTAATATTTTGCTCTTATTTAGTAAATTACAATACTTTTTCTATATATTAATTATACAATATACAGGGTTGCTAATAAGGCATTAAAAAGACAATTGAATTAACACTCAAATTCAAGTTTTTATTATTTTTTTATAATCTAAAAAATCTTTAGCAAAAGCTAATTTCAAATTTTAAGTTCCAAATATTGAATAAAAAAATATTGTAATCCCATAAATCGGATGAAAATTTAATATTAATATTGAAGTTTGTAAAATTATTTCAGAAATTGCACAATATCAGATTTCAGATCGATATATTCAAAATTGAGGAAACTAGTTGGTTTAAACAGATAGATGAATGACGGGTCAGGCAATCGCTCACTCGCCATGCCAGTCATTTATAGATATCGCACTCTTTGAGGTCTAAATCTTTTAGCGTATTATGCCATACTCGATAGCACTATAATATACCATTAGGATAAATTTTTATTTAGTCTCCTCATTACATCATTGAAAAATGCAAAAAATGTCTATTCAATATTTATATAAATTAAAAAATATGTTTTTTCAATTTAAATTATTTTCGATTTGACACTTCTTAGTACTAATTTCGTTATTTTAAAGGCAATCTACTAAATAATCGAGTTTCCCAAGCATTGTTTGACCATCTTTTGTCTAATTTCTTTCATTAATTTTAATTATAGTTATTTTCAGTTAAAATAAATAAAATATTTCTCCTTCAACCAGCTAGTTATATACATATATAATTATACATATTATCTTATATATTTATATTTAAATTTGGAAGAATTTGCTTATGCAGTTTTTATAATTGTGAAATCAAATTAGTCCTAACTTAAAAATAATGTAAAAATATTTTATTTTAAATTTCCCATTTTCACCGTTAATTACTAAATTTGGATTGTTTTTAAGTTGTACATTTCATATATAAAATCAAAAAATTGAAAAAAATTTTTAATTTATTTCACATGTTTGAATCGAAAAATTTGTTACAATTCAAGCTTCCATTATTTTAATAGAATTTTAATTTAAGATTTTGCTAAAACTTTGTAATAAAATTCTAACCTGAGTATTTTATAATTATTATTAATATCTTAACATTGTCTTTAAACAACATATAAATACTACAAATTTTATTCGATATTTTCCTTGACATTAAATCACATACTTTCAACAAGACTAATTTTATTAGAGTGTTGTATGCTAAATATACTAAAACACTCTAATAAATTCTAATATGTTTTTTAACACACGACTGGCTTGTCTACTAACAATTCACAGCAATTTAAGTATCTATTATACAACAAATTTATACAGCATACTATATCAATTCATCTATTAAGTTGAATTTTCAAGAAAGTTTTCATTTCATTAATTCAAATCAATAACACATTTTATTTGCACTAAGCGATCGATAAACAACGACAAACGTATGCTCAGAAGAATGACTCAACTATAAAAGTTGTATATTTAAAAATATGCTATGTTCGATGGTAATATAATGAAATAAGTTTGTGTAGCTAATTTATTATTGCTATATTTTAACTGCAGTCATTTATTTATGAGGGTGATTCGGATTATGCGGTCAATAATTTTAAGTTTAAGAAATATGTCATTATTTGCATGAGATCACTATATTTATCATGAAATTTTCTGAACAAAAGGATAACTTTGGAAACTGAAAGTTATATTATAAAGTTCATAAGTAACTAAAATTTCAGCTTTTGCCCATAATAGTTAATCAGTTTTAATATTGATAAAAAAATTATTTTCAATATCATTTTTTGAAATTAGAGTTCAGAATAATATTCACTTCGTTGAGCTGAGGTGGTGATGTTCGTGTCTACATGTTATTTATCCAATTTCCTATCGTCTGTATTGATTGTGTTTGAACTAAATATGCTAATGTGTTTACAAAATTGTAATGCTTTAGACATATATACAAATATTGCTGCAATATATTGGCACATTGTATTGAATAAAATGATTGACTAAATATTATTGAACAAGTTAGTTATTATTAATCTTGCCTATACAAAGCCTAAACAGCCATATTCAGAAATTTGAGCACGTCATAGTTTCTGAGAGGTGTTAGTCTAAGACCATACAGATATAAAGATAATATCGGTTTGTTTTAAACGAATGAAAGAAGACGCGTAGTGTTTGATGACAAGTAATTTATAAATATCCGGATGATCATAAATTATATACAATTTATAACAGTAATTATAATAACCTTTAAAATAGATCATAAAAGAAATATTGCACAATATTATTGAATAAAATTATTGCGCAATACAACTGAATTCAGTTATTTTACAATATTCTTGAATAGTATTATTGCACAATATTTTTGAATAATATTAGTGTAAAATATTATTACCCACATGAGTCACCTAAAATTAGACAATTTGTAATATATAAATCAGAGTTTAGAGCAAATTTATTTTTCTGTAAATCAGCAGAAAACTGTTTATTACAAAATACGAAAGTATTTACTTAAAAATGTAGGCTCAGCGTTTTCCTTGAGGGATTTCAGCAGAAAAGTAGCAAATATAGAAGAAGAAAACGCATTTGAATAACAGTAAATATAAGACAACATGAGACATATTGTAGCAGCGGAAACGGCATTTATATGATTAATCGTACACCCACACACATAAACGCGTACTATATTGTATATATGATGGTGACAATAAAGAATGTTATTTCAGGACGATATGCCAGCGCCGATCGTCTAATGTTGCCACTCAAGAGTGAGGCTAAGGTTAAGGAGAACAGAAGACACAATTTCTGGTGCAGGCACAAACACACACATGTACATACATGCTGGAAACACATGCCAAAAGCTAACATATCGATTAAAATAAAATACAGCGCACCTGGCAAAAAGGAAGGAAAAGATGTCATCAGCATGTGATTAAGGAAGAGTGACGCGAGGCAGGACCTGTATTGATATGGAGGTCTTCAAGTGAATTGTCAGTGGCTGACAGCAGTCTTAGTACAGGTTGTTATTTTCGCTGTTGTTGCATTACACGTCAGTTTTTGATTGCCACCCACATAGTTGAGTTATTCATGAACTGAAAGTTTTGATGAAAATATTGTAATTGCGTCTTACTGAGAGTAATTGCTTTGACCAAGAGAGCCAAGCAGTAGGGAGAGAATCGAGACACAAATGTCCTTTGACAGCGAAATGCGGCTAAATCATTGGGTTTAATAAGTTGCGAGAATACAAAAATATTTAATATATTTCTGTATGCTTTGTTATTTCACGCGCTTGTGCGAAAATTATAGTAATTTCCTTGACATCAATTACTGTGATGTGTTCTACTCCCACTTAAGAGTTGTCTGAAGCACAGCTATAGATTAAAGTACATTTATTAAGTGAATTTATGGTAGCTTACAAGCAAACAGATTGCAGCTTTTGGTGTAACGAGCGTATGAGTGAATCTGAATGAACTGAGCCACGCCTATGTAATGTCGGTTTTTGAAAGTCTGCTTTAGGTCGCCTTATTTATCTAATGATTAATAATGTGCACATGCTAAGTGTGTATTATAAAATTATGAATAAAACTCATTCTCTTACACTTTCTTATAATCATACTCTCACTGAAAAGTCCGTTATGAAATATCTCTTAAATTATTCATATATTTATTAATTGGCAGAAGGTTGTGATAAATCTCTTACAGTTTAAAATATATTTCTTTTGAAAATAGGTAATGCAATTTGTACTTTATCAACAGCTATTTCTCATTTTATATTAAAAATGTTGCTCACATTTAAGCACTTTTTCAAATTACTCAAAGAATTTTATTGAAATAAGTTTGATTTGAAAATAATTAGCTGAAGATGCTAAAAATTGTGTCAATTAAATTTTTAATCGAAAGAAACACCAAATAAATGTAAAATGTTGCCAAATTAAAAACTATTAAATCCAAATTTTCTGATATTTGTTATTACTGAAATGGTATATGAAACTATTAAATTTATTATATACATAACAACTGTTTACAGCAGTAGAATAAGGAAAAACTGCATTAGTACATCAGACATTAAAAGCAAATAGAGTGAGTTGGCTGGACCATTCACTCAACTTAAAACAATTTTATATTTATTTCATCACAAAGATATAAATTATATTTTGTTATAATATAGAAAATCTGGGTGCATTACAGTAAAATGTTCAAGTGTAAAATTCTTGGCCTACTTTAGGCGACTACTCATTCTACGATATATAATCTACTCGTTTTCCGATATATTGTGGATTTTATATTTTGTGTTTTTTGGCAGGGAAGTTACGTTGTAGTCAAAACCGAATTAATCATTATAAATGAAGTCAAACCCAAATTTTGAATTTGTTTAACGAAATGTTTTTCGAATTTGTTTAACGAAATGTTGCCTACATTTAGGTAATCTATGAAAGCCAAAATTTAAATAAAAATGGATTGCCTACCTTGGCAAAATTTCAATTCTACTCGTTCTACGATATATTGTTGGTTTTGAGGCGGTAGTGAAAGTTACGTTGAAGTCAAAACCATAACTATTCTTTATAAATGAAGTCCACACCCAATTTTTCGATAAATAATTTTGTCGAACTGGTTTAAAAATGTTGCCTACATTCAGGCATATATAATTGTTTTTCAACATATTACTAAATATAGCTTTATTATTTTAGTAAGCTTTAACTGACAGTTAGAACTACAAAAGTTTGTCTACATTTGGGCGAAATGAAATTTTCTATTATTTCTTCATTATTACTATTTCACAATGAACTGATTGTCGAAATCGAACGAAGGTATGTGTATATTAAAAATGTTTATTTAAAAATAGTTTCACCAAAACGTCTG